TTTAAAAACTGTTTAAAACAAATGAAAACTGGAAACACAACATATCCAAATCTATGGTATACAGAAAAAGTAGTGCTAAGAGAGAAGTTGATAGCAATAAATGCCTACATCAAAAATGCAGAAAGATTACAAATTAATAATCAAAGGATGAACCTCAAGCAACTTGAAAAGCAAGAACAAACCAAACAGTAGCAGAAGAGAGAACAAAGATCAGAGCAAAACTAAATAAAATAGAGACTAAAATAACAATACAAAGGATTAACAAAACAAAAACTTGGTTCATTGAAAAGATAAATAAAATTGATAAATGGCCAGCTAGACTAACCAAGAAGAGAGAAGACCCAAATAAACAAAATCAGAAATGAAAAAGAAGATATTACAACTGATAGCACAGAAATACAAATGGTCATCAGAGACCATTATGAACAATTATACACTCACAAACTAGAAAACGTAGAGGAAATAGATAATTTCCTGGAAATATACAACCTACCAAGATTGAACCAGGAAGAAATAGAAAACCTGAACAGACTAATAACAAGTAGCAAGATTGATTCAGTAATAAAAATCTCCCCCACCCCAACACCACCAAAAAAAAGCCTAGGACTGGATGGATTCACAGCCAAATTCTACCCAGTTGTGCATACAAAGGAGAACTAATACCAAGCCTCCTGAAACTATTCCAAAAAATTGAGAAGAACGGATTCTTCCTAACTCATTCTATGAAGCCAGTATCACCCTAATACCAAAACGAGACAAGGACCCAACAAAAACAGAAAACTACAGACAAATATTCCTGATGAACATAGATTCAAAAATCTTCAACAGAATACTAGCAAACAGAATCCAACAGCACATCAAAAAGGTAATACACCATGATAAAATCAGTTTTAAACCAGGGATGCAAGGATGGTTCAACATATGCAAATCAATAAATGTGATACATCACATCAACAAAATGAAAGACAAAAACCATATGCAGAAAAAGCATTTGATAAAATCCGACATCCCTTCATGATAAAAAACCTCAACAAACTAGGCAGAGAAGGAACATACCTCAAAACAATAAATGCCATATACAAAAATCCCACAGCTAATATTATACCAAATGGGAAAAAGTTGAAAGCAATCCCCCAAAGAACAGGAACAAGACAAGGATGCCCATTTTCACCCTTCCTATTCAACATAGTACTGGAAGTCCTAGCCAGAGCAATGAGGTAAGGGAAAGAAATTAAAAGCATCCATACTGGAAAACAGGAAGTCACATATCTCTGTTTGCTGATATATATATGTATATATATTCGGAGATGGGGTCTCATTCTGTCATCCAGGCTGGAGTGCCATGGTGTAATTATAGCTCACTGTAGCCTTGGCCTCCTGGGCTCAAGGGATCCTCCCATCTTAGCCTCCCAATTTGCTAGGACTACAAACATGTGCCACCACACTGAATAATGTTTTTGTCTTTTGTAAAAACGGGCTTTTGCTATATTCAGGCAGGTCTCAAACTCCTGGCCTCAAGTGATCATCCTGTCTTGGCCTCCCAAAGTGCCGGGATTACAGACATGAGCCACCATGCCTGAATCCCAATATAATCTTATATCTAGAAAAATCTAAAGACTCCACAATAAAACTCTTAGATTTGTTAAATGAATTCCATAAAATTACAGGATACAAAATCAATGCACAAAAATCAGTAGCATTTCCATACACTAATAACAGTCTAACTGAGAAAGGAATCAAGAAGGCAATTCCATTTATAATACCTTTAAAAAACACATAGGAGTAAATGTAACCAAGGAGGTGAAAAAACTGTACAAGAAAAACTACAGAACACTGATGAAACCAATTGAAGATGACACAAACAAATGGAAAAACATCACAGGCTCATGGATCAGAAGAATTAATAACTTTAAAATGACCATACTTCTCAAAACAATCTACAGATTCATTGCTATCCCTATCAAAGTACCAACTCACTTTTCACAGAATTGGGAAAAACAATCCTAAAATTCATATGGAACCAAAAAAGAGTCCAAATAGCCAAAGCAATCCTGAACAGGAAGAACAAAACTGGAAACATCACATTACCTGACTTCAAATGATATTATAGGTTGGTGCAAAAGTAATTGCCATTTTTGCTATTACTTTCAGTGGAAAAGTCCCAATTACTTTTGCACCAACCTAATACAAGGCTATAGTAACCAAAACAGCACAGAACTGGTATAAAAACAGATACATAGATCAACGGAATAGAGGAGAGGAGCCAGAAATAAAGCCATGTACATATAGCCAACTGATCTTTAGCAAAGCTGATAAGAACATATACTGTGGAAAGGATATCATCCTCTTCAATAAATAGTGCTGGCAAAATTGGAGAGCCATATGTAGAAAAATGAAACTGGACCCCTATCTCCCATTGTACACAAAAATCAACTCATCATGGATTAAAGACTTAAACATAAGACCTAAAACTATAAAAATACTAGAAGAAAACCTAGGGGAAACTTTTCTGGATATTGGTCTAGGCAAAGAATGTATGACTAAGACCACAAAAGCACAGGCAACAAAAACAAAAATAGACAAATGGGACTTAATTAAACTAAGAAGCTTCTGCACAGTAAAAGAAATAATCAACAGAGTGAAGACATAAGCTGTTGAATGGGAGAAAATATTTGCAAACTATTAATCCAACAAGGGACTAATATCCAAAATACACAAGGGAGTCCAACAATTCAACAACAACAAAAAATAAGTAATCCCATTAAAAAGTGGGCAAAGGGCTGGGAGTGGTGGTTCATGCCTGTAATCCCAGCACTTTGGGAGGCAAGGCAGGAAGACTGCTTGAGCCCGGGAGCTTGACATTAGCATGCCCAACATGTCAAAACCCATCTCTTCAAAAAATTAGCCAGATGTGGTGGTGTGCACCTGTAGGCCCCAGCTACTTGGGAGGCTAAGGTGAGAGGACCACTTGAGCCCACAGGCCAAGGCTGTAGTGCACTCCAGCCTGGGCAACAGAGCGAGGCACTGTCTCAAAAAGAAAGAAAGAGAGAAAGAAAGGAGGGAGGGAGGGAAGGAGGGAAGAAGGGAGGAAAAAGTACTTGGAAAAGGATATGAATAGAGATTTTTTTAGAAGAAGACATACAGTGTCCAACAGGTGTATTTAAAAATGCTCAAAATCACTAATCATCAGAGAAGTACAAATCAAAACTACAATAAGATATTATCTTACCCCACTCAGAATGACTATTATGAAAAAGACAATAACAGATACTGGCAAGGATGCAGAGAAAGGAGAACTCTTATACACTGTTGTCAGGAATGTAAATTAGTACAGCCTCTAACGAAAGCAGTATGGAGATTTCACAGATAACTAAAAATAGAATGACCATTCAGTCCAGCAATCTCTGTGCTAGATATCTACCCAAAGGAAAATAAATCAATACATCAAAAGATACCTTCATTTTTATGTTGTTTGCAACACCATTCACAACAGCAAAGATATGGAATCAACCTAAGTGTCTGTCCAATGGATGAATGAATAAGGAAAATATGGGATATATACACAATGGAATACAATTCAGCCATAATAAAGAATGAAGTCATGTCTTTTCTAGCAACGTGGATGAAACAGGAGGCCATTATCTTAAGTGAAACAAGCCAGGCACAGAAAGACATGTAGTGCTTGTTTTCATTCATAAGTGGGTGCTGAAAAAATGTGTTTAAATGGGCATAGACAGTGGAATGATAGATAATGGAGACTCAGAAGAGTGAGGAGCGGTGGGAGAAGGGACAATAATGAGAAATTGGTTAAAGGCTAAAATGTACATTATTTGGGTGACTGACACCCTAAAAGCCCTGACTTGATCACCAATCCACACATGTAACAAAATTGTACATGTACTCCATAAATGTGTACAAATATAAAAGAAAAAGAAGAAATTCAAAGTATTGGGCCCCACTCCAGGTCTACAAATCAGAAGTTACATTTTTAAGAGATCACCAGAATAATTCGTAGGTACATTAAAATTTGAGAACACTGCTCTAGACAACTGAGGTAGTACTATTAGCCACAAAGCACAGCAGATATTAGAATTGAAAAGAATTCACAAAGTTCAGGTTTTGGTGGTGTTCTCCAGTAGATTTGGGGAATTTCCTGAAGAAGGAGTTGTCACTTAGTACGCGAGTTTGAAAGTGAAGTTCCATCCATTTGTGCCTGCAGATATGGGCGCGTTCTGTCTATTTCCATGTTACTAGATTCTCTGTGCTCATGTTTTAGTGTATTCATGTTTTATCGATATCAAAGGAATAATGTTGAAAAATGTTAAAATCCTTGCGTCACATAGCAATTTTGGGGTGTTTCTTTTTTTAATTTTAAAGGCTTTATTTGATTAACTTATACTTAAATTTTGGTTTTATGGGTTAAAGAAGCTCTTTCCATAGGTGTGAATTAGCAATGGAGGAAGACTTAAATAGCCACGTCAAAATAGGCAGAAGTGGTTTCTCCTTTTATATTTAAATCATAAAGCAAAACTCCACAGCAAAAGTTACTTCTTTGACTAGTTTTAATCCATAAATGTCACTAAAAAGTCAATTTGATGTCACATTCTGGAAGACAATGTCATTTATTCCTATTTTAGAAACTATTGGAACCTCTTTTTTATACTTTGTTCAGGATTCATTACATCATCTTACCAACTTTTAGTATAGGACAGTGGTTTATTTTTAACATAAAACAGTGGTACACACATTCCAAAAGCAATAGATCAAACATTTTTGCCAATTATTTGGTCTTTAATATTTGTTTACACATATTCCCTTAAGAGCTTTTATTATTTCTTCTTGTTTCCATGTATTTTCCTTATTAAAAGATAAATATGTAGTATTTAATTCCCCCTATTTCTCAGTAATTTAAAGTAATATTTCATTACTTCTAAGCAGTTTGATACCAGATTTTGTTATTTTGGAAACATTGCTGATTTGGCTCTCTTCTACCTGTCCAGGAGCAAGAACCACCTGAGAAAAGTGACCCTAAACAAGAAGAATCTCAGATACCTGGGAAGGAGGAAGAGGCATCAGTCACCATCTTAGTATGTAACATTTTTCATGTACTATTGGATTCCTACAAACAATGATATTGCCCAATTTAAAATTGAACTCTAAATATGAATGTCTGTTATCTTTATTGTCAAAATTATGATTTTACTTTTCCAGATAATTAACATCAGTGATAAACTAACTGGTAGATCATTTTCAGCCATGCCTCTTATGATCACAAACTCATTTTTCCCTTAAAAATTAAATCTTATTTTTCAAGATTGTTAATGGATGGAAAAATCTCCCTATGGGGAAGGGCAGACAGAACTCACAGCCCTAGTCATGATCCTTCAGATTCATCTTCCACTTTGGGAATTTTTCACTAATTGGTGCTGTCACCACTACACAATAGCAAATGTTCAGAGATAACAAAAGGAAAAATCACAGGGAATTACATACAGCCAAAATAATGGCTTTACAACAATGTGGCTTATTTGTCTTCCATGCATAACCCTCTACAAAAATGCCTTTGTGCCTGATGTACTACATCCAAGCAGTCAAGACATAGCAGAGGCCAGGTGCGGTGGCTCACGCCTGTAATCCCAGCACTTTGGGAGGCCAAGGCGGGCAGATCACGGTGAAACCCCATCTCTACTAAAAATACAAAAAAATTAGCCGACTGTGGAGGCGGGCGCCTGTAGTTCCAGCTACTTGGGAGGCTGAGGCAGGAGAATGACGTGAACTCAGGAGGCGGAGGTTGTAGTGAGCCAAGGTCACACCACTGCACTCCAGCCTGGGCAACAGTGCAAGACTCCTCAAAAAAAAAAAAAAAAAAAAAAAAAGGACATACCAAAAGGCCTATGTTCGGTAATGTCACTTTAATAACTTGAAGTCAGCAACAGTGAGAATATTAAGACCATGGCAAACACTGCAAATCAGGGTTTTGTTTCTTCTGGAGAGCCAGTTGTTAGAACACTTACCAGTACACCATTGTCTGTATTCTTCATACTCCAGACTCTTGTGGACTAGGCCTCATAAGAAAGAAGAACTCACTCTCTACAACGTCGAAGTTCAAACTTCTGAGTTCCTTTTCATGTCTTAGGTCCCAGGTAGTTGCCCAAGAACTGGCAGCCAGAATGGATATCCCCTCAAGGAATACCCTACTTCCTACCTAGTGATGCATTGCTTTTCCTTATAGGATTTACAGGTGGCCGGGCGCGGTGGCTCAAGCCTGTAATCCCAGCACTTTGGGAGGCCGAGACAGGCAGATCACGAGGTCAGGAGATCGAGACCATCCTGGCTAACTTGGTGAAACCCCGTCTCTACTAAAAAATACAAAAAACTAGCCAGGCGAGGCGGCGGGCACCTGTAGTCCCAGCTACTCAGGAGGCTGAGGCAGGAGAATGGCATAAACCCAGGAGGCGGAGCTTGCAGTGAGCTGAGATCAGGCCACTGCGCTCCAGCCTGGGCGACAGAGCAAGACTCAGTTTCAAAAAAGAAAAAAAAAAAGATGTACAGGTTATTCAATTGTATTGTTTTCTGTTATATTCAATTATATTCAATTTCCATTGTATTCAATTATATTCAATTGTACTCTGAAGATTCATGCATTTTACTGTCTGTAAATTTATAGCTACAAACTTATAACCAATTTTTTTTAAAAGAGGGTATGTGCCAAAGTTCAACCAACCATGTTAAAACTGACATTATTGGACTAAATGGATTTTATTTATTTACTATTAGGTTGTACTGAAATAACATTAAGATATAACAGGAAGATTAACATTAAGATGTAACAGGAAGTCAAGCAAGAAGGGAGTTTTATTTCCTTACATCTTTCATAGGTGCTCTTACACAGGTTTTCATGAGTTTGAGTTTGAGTAGGGATCTCATTGATTTCAAACTTGAGTGTATTTGTTTGCCTATATTAGGATGTCGTCTCAAAGAATTTTGTACCATTCTGTTTGCATTTAAAAGTTTAAGAGCTAGATTTGTCTCATTGTTTATAATGGGGGGATAGGAGGCTTGAGCAACCCAAAGGTCCATTAATATGAGATTGAGTAAATATTAAATAAAAGTACATCAGTATAATATAATGATGTCATAAAAAAAGAATGAGCAGAGTTATACACTGACTAATAACACAGAAAAAGAGAACCAAGATATATCGTTACATGGAAAAAGTAGCTGCAGAACTCTGTGATTAGCATGATCTCATTTTTAAAATAAAAAGGCACATATATATATATACCCATATGAATATATTTGCATATAGAGAAATTTTGGAAGGATGTAGATACTCAACTCATAATAATGGGTATCTCCCAGGAGCAGGATTTGGATAGAGGGAGAAAATTATCACTGCCAGTGACATTTGAGTTTTTTAAAGTGTATACATGTCATTTCTATAATTTTAAAAGATATATTAAAAGCTATATATTCAATTGTACTCTGAAGATTCATGCATTTTACTGTCTGTAAATTTAGAGCTAAAAATTTATACCCAATTTTTTTTAAAAGAGGGTATGTGCCATAGTTCAACCAACCATGTTAAAACTGACATTATTGGACTAAATGGATTTCTCTTTGGCACCTCACTTTAAATGTATGACTATGATTAGCTAATCATTGAGAAATTGAGAAGTTATTCTAATTCATTATATATCATTGTGATTATTTTGAAACATAACATTTACTATTCTTTCTCCTTAACATTTTTACTATGCCTCAAAGATTCTTTCTTGTCCCCCCAAACCCCCCAAAAAATGTTATTGCTCAGGAAACTTAAATAGACACTATTTTGGGGGAAAGAAAGTTGGCAATGATCTTTCGTTGCAGAGACATATTAAAAGATATGTCTTCTAATATCTATCTGTATTCTTCATACTCCAGACTCTTGTGGACTAGTCCTCATAGAAAGAACTCACTCTCTACAATGTCGAAGTTCAAACTTCCGAGTTCCTTTTTGTGTCTCAGGCGAACAAAATGTCTGCTATTTTGGCATTTGCTATTTGGTACATATACAATGTGACAATATATGAAATTCCCTCAGGAAGCAACAACTCTCAGATAGTTGCATCCCTAAATTGATTAAATTTGTTGCATTATTTTTATGGCATCAAAAATACGGCATGTTTAAAGAGTCTCTTACTTTTTCTCCTTTCGATGAAGGACTCTTCTGAGGAAGATAAGGAAAAAGAAGAGGTTGCTGCTGTCAAAATCCAAGCTGCCTTCCGGGGACACGTAGCCAGAGAGGAGGTAAAGAAAATGAAAACAGATAGTCTTCAAAATGAGGAAAAAGAGGAAAACAAGTGAGGACACTGGTTTTACCTCCAGGACACATGAAAAATAATCCAAATCCATCAACCTTCTTGTTAATGTCATTTTTTCCTGAGGAAGGAAGATTTGATGTTGTGAAATAACATTCGTTGCTGTTGTGAAAATCTGTCATGAGCATTTGTTTAATAAGCATACCATTGAAACATGCCACTTGAAGATTTCTCTGAGATCATGAGTTTGTTTACACTTGTCTCAAGCCTATCTATAGAGACCCTTGGATTTAGAATTACAGAACAAAAGCATCTGAGATTACAGAGATCTCAGAGGTTATGTGTTTTAACCATTATCAAATGAATAAATCCTCTCTATCACATCCCCCAAAAATGTTCTTTAGCTCCTGTTTCACTCCTAGTGATAAAAAATTTCACTGCTTCTTAATGATAGTCTATTTTCTTTTGGAATTTTTAGAAAGATAAGCTGGGACAAAAATCTGCCTCCTTCAGCCTGGCCCACATGGTGAAACCCCATGTCTACTAAAAATACAAAAATTTGCCAGGCATGGTGGCGCACACCTGTAATCCCAGCTACTTGGGAGGCTGAGGCAGGAGAATTGCTTGAACCTGGGAAGTGGAGGTTGCAGTGAACTGAGATTGCACCACTGCACTCCAGCCTGGGCGACAGAGCAAGACTCCATCTCAAAAAAAAAAAAAAAGAAAAGAAAGAAACCCTGCCTCCTTGTAAGTTTAACCCACTGGCTTTCATTTTTCATACATGTATTCAATCATTTATTGAAAATGTATTGAGCACTATTCATGTGCTGGGAATTAATAGTGAATATTTGTTCTTACACTCATGCAATTTACAATTCTTTATTGTTTTGCTCTCCAGAACCACACAGAACAAGACTAATAACATCATATTGGAAAAAGCAAAAGCTATCATATCATGCTGACTTCTTCAGTTAAAACTTCCCAAGTTTTTAAGTATACAAATGGTAATGCCTGTTTCACAAACTCAGAGGCTTTATCTCTTTTATGTTTTCAATGAACCATTCAAATCCCCAGTGCCTTATTTTTAGAAAGTTCAGTCTCTCCTTTTTGAGGCCTCTCCACCCTTGATTGTCGAAGAAACTGAGAGTTCATGTCTTAGACCAAAGGGTGCAGTTCTCTTCCCAATACTAAGGGTGGAAAGTGGAGTCTTACCATTTAGTTAATGCTGTTGCCTTCTACCATAATGTTGTAGTATAGTCCAGCAGACTAAGGCGATTCTCTGGCTGGTTCCAATCCTGCCTGCACCACAGTGGATGACCCATGATTTAGTTCCAGGATTACATCTCTCTTGGTTTATAGTCACAAAGTCAGTCTTCCCCCAAAACTCAAAAACAAGCCAGGATGGCTCAGTCCTGAGGAGCTTCTAAAACCAGGTATATGTTGTCACAACAAATACTCTCCTACAAATACTTTGATCCTTGTCCTAGGCTTAGACATGTTCTTTCTGCAAAGCAGTTTTATTTCAGGTGCCTCACTGCCCTTCCCTGGCACTGAGCCTTTATCAGACTCTGCAACAGAGGTTCCCCCAAGTGATCGCCACTCAAACACAGTTGATTCACACCAACGCTTCCAAGGTTGTGGCATTCATTCTCTAATGTCCACTCATACAGGCAGCCTTTCTCCTTCCAAAATCTTGCTGCCACTATAGAGAGTTTCATGCTAGCTAAACACAAGTCTCTAATATCCCCCTTCCTCCCCTCCTTAACCCCTTTCCTCCAGGCTTACAGAGTAAAAGAAATCAGTTCTCCTCCAGGATTCCAGCTGTTCGTCCCTCCCATTCCACTGAAAGCACCAGCTTCTAACACCTTCCCCTCTCAGACAGAGCCATCCTGCTTAGAGAATTGTCAAGGGAGGACCCAGAATTTATGCAAAGACTTAGATTCCCTGACCTGTAGAGGAGACCAGAAGAGAAAAAAAGGGATTTTTTTCCCTAGTGAGTATATAGCAGGAAAAAAAAAGAGATGAGTTAGCCTTTTCAGTAAATTCTCTTGTTACACACATAAAGTGACTAACACTGTGCATTCCATACACACACACACACACACACACACACACACACACACACACACACAGAGACAGATCTAGTGGTGGTGATACTTGTAGTGAAGGAGGAAAAGGAAAAGGCGAGCAATGGATGTGATATTACGAGAACAACACGTATGAATGACACTTTATTAGAACTTATCTGGTTTTCCTCTTGTCTCTCTGGCTGTTCCTTCTCAATTCCCTTTACTGGTAACTCTTCAACTCCCCAACCACTAAATGCTATGTGCCCTTAGGCTCAGTCTTTTGACCCCATTTCTACACTCACTTGATTTCCTGCAGTTTCGTAGCTTTAAAATCCAATCTTCTTAATGATTACTCCCAGACCTTTCTCTCCTCTACCTGCGAACTTCTATATTCAGCTGCCTACATAACATCCCTATTTGGATGTCTGTAGGCATCTCAAAAGTAACATATAAAAAATGACTCCTGATATTGTCCCCAAATCTGAAACTTCCCCCACACCCAAGTTCTTCCATTCAAAAATGGCTGCTCCATTCTTCCATTTGCTCAGGCCAAAAACCTTGAATTCGTCTTTAATGCATCACCTTCTTTCACACCCCATATACCATCTATCAGCAAAACCTGTGGGCTGTACCCATGAAAGATACTCAGAATCTGCCTACTTCTCACCACTTCCATTGTTACCACCTTGGTCCTAGTTCCCATGATAGCCTTGCGAATTATTGCAATAACTTATATTGGTCAGTGATTATCTCACTACTGCTGCACAACCCATTCCATAGTCAGTGGTTTAAGACAATTATCTTTTCTCCTGGGTCTGTAGGTCAGTGGTAATGTAGCTGAGCTAGGCTGGACTACAACCGCAAGGTTAGGTTCAGGTCAGCTCTAAGCTGTGCGTTTGTGGGTTGACAGAGGAAGGTCTGCTTCACGCTGTGGGCCCAAGGGTCAGCTGCAGCACAGTGCCTCTACTTCACGTGTCCTATTCTGAGCCCCTGCTGAAAGACGTTATCCAGGACAAGCTTTTTTCGTGCTGGTCACAGCAGACAAGCAGGAAAACCCAGCATGCAAGAGTATTTCAAGCTTTTGCTCATATCACTTCCACTGACATCCCATATACAAAAGAAAGTCATCTAATGAAGCCCAAAGTGAGGAGGATGAGGAAGTACACTGTTCACCATGCAGCCATAGCAAAGGCTCATGTGTGCATAATGCTACTACAGGGTAGTGAAGAATTGGGACCAGTAATTTAATCTACCACAATCTGCTTTCTTGATTATAATTATATATTTACCACATGTAAAAATAGACCCACTCCTATCCCAAAACCCCTAAAAGTTCCATCACATCTTTGAAGTCCAGGATCTCATGATCTACATCAGGTCCAGATATAGTCCTTCTTGATATAGAGACCTGTGAATTAAAAGAGCAAGTATCCTTTTATCACATACAACAAATGATGGAATAGAGACAATAATCACAAAAAATACTCTTATTCACAAAGGGTAGAAATGGAAGCAGGTGACAGCCACTGGTCCATAGCAATTAGGAAACCTCATTGGACAATGCTTGTCAGGTTCCTCTATTGGAGGGAATTATGTTTCATGATTACACACTGTTTCTACTCCCTAAGAATGACCTTCCAGTCTATCTTCCATAGCTCTTGGTTCTGCACTCTAGGGAATCATTCTTTTTCCCTCATCTTCCTTAATCACTTGCAAAGGACATTAGAGAATATGCCTTTTTTGGTGGATAAATGGGTTCTTCAACCTGCTTTCTGCCTGTAGAAAACTAGAGACAAATAATCTGTTTGTACCTTGTAGAATGTCAGTCTCTTTTAGCTGGCACTGGTACTTTTGTCAATAAAGTTCTTTTTTAAACTTTGTGAACTTCCTATGAATTTGACTATAGTCACCTCCACATGTCAAAAGGTGTGGTGAGCCCACAATTTCTTTCAAGATTTGCCTCCCTTTATCTCTCTCTGTTTCCAATTCTATTAAGAGTGAAAAATTGGCACCAATATTTCAATATATAAAGACTTCTATCATAATTGCCGAGCATTCACTATCCCTTCTTCTCCCAGCTTCCACCATGTTACTCAGGGTTTCCAGAGAAACAGAGCCGATAGGATATATATAGATATATGACTAGAAATTTGTTATGGGAATTGGCTCATGCACTTATGGAGGCTTAGAGAGCCCACAATATACTGTGTGTAAGCAGAGAACCAGAGAAGCCAGTGGTGTGATTCAGTCTGAGTCCGAAGGCCTGAGTACTGTGGAAGCCAGTGGTGTAGCTCTCAGTCCAAGGCAAAAGCCCTGAGAACCAAGGGAGCTGCTGGTGTGAGTCCTGAAGTCCCAAGGCCCAAGAACCAGCACCTCTGGTGTCCAAGGGCAGAGAAAAATGGATGTCCCAGCTCCAAAAGAGAATTTGTCCTTCCTCTGCCTTTTAGTTGGTACTGGTACTTTTGCCAATAAAGTTCTTTTGTAAACTTTGTGGACTTCCTATGAATTTGACTACAGTCAACTCCATGTGCCAAAAGTGTGGTGCACCTTCCCAAGAGAATTTACCCTTCCTCTGCCTTTTCATTCTACGTAGGTCCTCAATGTCAATCTGCCCACATTGGTGAGGGCAGACCTTCTTTACTTAGTCTACCAATTCAAATGCTACTCTCTTCCAGAAACATTTTATCAGCTATCTGAGCATCCCTTAACCAGTCAAGTTGTCACAAAAAAATGAACCATCACACACCCTTTTCCCCTTTCAACACATCAGCCAGAGTATCCTATTATAATTTAAGTCACATCATGTCACTCCTCTGCTTTAAACCCCCAATGGCTCCTCATTTCACTCAGAGTAAAATTCTTCCTTATAGTCTACAAAACCCTGTGCAGATCTTTCCTCCTGTTACCTCTGATCCCCATATCACTTGTTCACTTGGCTCCAGCCACTCTGGCCTCAGAGCTCTTCCTCAGACATTCT